TAAGACTTGGCAAGGCCGACATTTTAAATTTTTTTTACAAAAAAAGTGTATCTGACCATTTGAGAAAGTTTGAGAAAGGCACATTATAAATTAAATGTATTATTATTATTATTAATCAAATGCCATCCTAAGAGGAGCTCAATCCACTACTATGAGCATGCTTCACACTTCTACAAGCCACTACAAAACAATACCCTTTTGTGTTTTTAGAGGCTCAAGGGGGTCGCACACCGGATGAGAATCGCAGCACCACATTTGCACCACGTCTTTAAAAATCAAACACATTGTCTTCTAGAAGTGTACACACAACGGCGGCACCACCGGTGACTCAGGACATTGTTCAAAATCCTGCTGCAGCGCTGCGACCCCATTTATTGTGCTTTAATAGTCTCAACCATGCCCCACTCTTATTTTCACATTATTTTATCAAAATAACGTTAAGGTGTCAATTTAAGCAACACACTCACTGAAAGCTGTTTGGTTATATTTCTAAGTCGCGATTTAACAGCATCTATATCCAGTGACACTGTATGTACTCGCCAACATATAACTATATTTTGTACTTTAAAGTAATACAAAAATATAAAGTATCCATTAATTACTTTACTGTAGTTGTGGTTTCTTAATAAGAGGCTTAGTAACCGCCAGCTTCAATGGTTTTGGGACGTGACCTAGAGATAACGACGAGTTAATAATATTGAGAAGCGGTTCTTCTGCTACAGGTAACAACTCTTTCAGTAATTTAGTGGTTAAAGGATCTAATAAACATGTTGTTGGTTTAGATGCAGTGATATGTTTATTTAGATCTTCCTGTCCTATAGTTGTAAAGCACTGCAGCTTTTCTTTGGATGCAATTAATGAAGCTCAATTACAAGACGCTGTTGATTCTACATTTGTTATTGTATTTCTGATGCTATCTATTTTATCAGTGAAGAAATTCATAAAGTCATTACTACTAAACTGTGAGGGAATATTTAGTTCGGGTGATGTCTGATTATTTGTTAATCTAGCCACTGTGCTAAATAAAAACCTGGGATTGTTTTGGTTATTTTCTATGATGTTGCGGATATGCTCAGCCCTAGCAGCTTTTAGAGCCTGTCTATAGCTGTACATTCTGTTTTTCCATGCAATTCTAAAAACTTGCAAGTTAGTTTATCTCCATTTGCATTCAAGATTACGAGTTTCTTTCTTGAGAGAATGGGTGTTGCTGTTGTAGCATGGCACAGTATATTCACAATTTGTACAGTGTCCCAACTTTTTTGGAATCGGGTTTGTAGTTCATGTGTATGTATGGGTACAGCGAGCAGTTGAGATAAATCAGGCAGTTTATTTGTGGATCTATCTTTTTTAGTAGTTGGAACAATAGTTCTACTTGGAAGATAAAGCAGAGCCATATAGTTAATAGGCAGCATGCACGATACAAAGTAGTGGTCAGTAACATCGTCACTTTGAGGTACTATATCTATATCATTAAGATCAGTTCTATGCGATATAATTAAATATGATTAAAATTACGAGTGGGTCTGGTTATGTTTTGCTTGACTCCAAAAGAGTTTATTAAGTCTGTAAATGCAAGTCCTACCGCATCATTTATATTATCAACATGAATGTTAAAGTCTCCGACAATTAGCGCTTTATCAACATTAACCTGAGAGGAAATCTGCAAATTATTTTAGAAAATCTGTATACGGCCCTGGCGGTCTATAAACAGTAGCCAGAGCAAGAGATAGGGGAGATTTATTTTGTTTATCTGACAGTGTAACATTAAGCAGAAGTATTTGGAATAGTTACACCTGTATCCTGTTTTCTGAGTAACATTGAGAATATCACTATATATTGTTGCAACACCGCCGCCACGACCAGTCTGATGGGGCTCATGTTTATAACAGTAGCTTGGTGGAGTAGAATCATTTAGACCAATATAGTCATTTGGTTTGAGCCAGGTTTCAGTCAAGCAGAGTACATCAAATCTATTCTGTGATCATTTCATTTACAATAACTGCTTTGGGTGAGAGTGATCTAATGTTTAAGAGCCCAAGCTTTAAAATTTGTTTTTGTTCATTTAGTTTGCTTTTTTCCAGTTTAATTATGATCAGGTTATTTCTAGATCCTGCATTAAATTTATATTTTGATCTCACTATTCGGGGAACAGACACAGCCTTTATAGATTGGACAATGCAAGTACTTCTAACATTTAAGTGGGTAGAACAAAAGCCATCATAGCAGTTATTTGAGAATTGGCTTACTAGTCATAGGGAGGTAGCGTCCTGGAGATGTTGTCCAATAGGAGTTCCACTCCAACTCTGCAGGGGTGCAAACTATCAGAACGAAAAAGCCTAGGCCGCTCGCAGAAAAGATTCCAATTATTAACAAAGAGCAGTTTCTGTTCTTTACACCATGACAATAACCATTCATTTAAAGCAACCAGTCTACTGAACCTTACGTGTCCTCGTTGATATGTGGGAAGCGGTCCTGACACGACGATCCATGATGTGCTGCTACTCGAGTCCGGTCTCGGACTTGGTCATTGGACTCGCCAAATGTTCTCGTTGGTCTCGACCGAGTCCAGCAATATGCTTTTTTTTCTCCTTCAAAACAAAACCACATTTGCATGTCGTGCCTGAAAACGGGTGGAAAACGCTAGACGTGCCGCTTTCTACTTCTTTCCAAAGCACTCTGTAGCCTGCGCTCTATGCTTGCGCTCCAGTGGCGTCTGCCGTTGCTAAGCAATTATGACCTGCGCTCTCCATGAAGACGCGGAAGTTTCAGCAAAGGATAAATGGATTTGCAGCACTAAAAATCCCTTGCAGTAGCTCTGCTACTAAATTTATTTTTAAAAATGGCTATCCTTGTACAGCTATGATCAGCTGTTTCTCCGTCTTGGCTTAGCTTTCAATTTTGTTTCGGGGAAAAGATTAAGCTGATTGGTTGATTCTTGTCACATGACCCGCGGTGCACTTGCTGTGTTTTGAAAAGTTTAGATGTTTCTAATTTAATTTTCTACCTGTTAGATTGTGTTTTATTAATGTCTACACCTACTTCCTTCTACAGCATTTATTAATATTAGTTAACTTTAATTTCAGCATTCACTAATGCATTATTCAAATGACAAGTTGTGTTTGTTAACATTAATGCACTGTGAACTAACATGAACAAACAATGAATGAACAACTGTATTTTTATTAAATAATGTTAACAAAGACAAAAATAAATAGTGTAATAAATATATTGTTAATTGTTTGTTCATGTTAGTTAATACATTAACTAATGTTAACAAATGACACCTTATCTGGTTATGTTTTGCTTGACTCCAAAAGAGTTTATTAAGTCTGTAAATGCAAGTCCTACCGCATCATTTATATTATCAACATGAATGTTAAAGTCTCCGACAATTAGCGCTTTATCAACATTAACCTGAGAGGAAATCTGCAAATTATTTTAGAAAATCTGTATACGGCCCTGGCGGTCTATAAACAGTAGCCAGAGCAAGAGATAGGGGAGATTTATTTTGTTTATCTGACAGTGTAACATTAAGCAGAAGTATTTGGAATAGTTACACCTGTATCCTGTTTTCTGAGTAACATTGAGAATATCACTATATATTGTTGCAACACCGCCACCACGACCAGTCTGTCGGGGCTCATGCTTATAATAGTAGTTTGGTGGAGTAGACTCATTTAGACCAATATAATCATTAGGTTTTAGCCAGGTTTCAGTCAAACAGAGTACATCAAAACGATTATCTGTGATCATTTCATTTACAATAACTGCTTTGGGTGAGAGTGATCTAATGTTTAAGAGCCCAAGCTTTAAAATTTGTTTTTGTTCATTTAGTTTGCTTTTTTCCAGTTTAATTATGATCAGGTTATTTCTAGATCCTGCATTAAATTTATATTTTGATCTCACTATTCGGGGAACAGACACAGCCTTTATAGATTGGACAATGCAAGTACTTCTAACATTTAAGTGGGTAGAACAAAAGCCATCATAGCAGTTATTTGAGAATTGGCTTACTAGTCACAGGGAGGTAGCGTCCTGGAGATGTTGTCCAATAGGAGTTCCACTCCAACTCTGCAGGGGTGCAAACTATCAGAACGAAAAAGCCTAGGCCGCTCGCAGAAAAGATTCCAATTATTAACAAAGAGCAGTTTCTGTTCTTTACACCATGACAATAACCATTCATTTAAAGCAACCAGTCTACTGAACCTTACGTGTCCTCGTTGATATGTGGGAAGCGGTCCTGACACGACGATCCATGATGTGCTGCTACTCGAGTCCGGTCTCGGACTTGGTCATTGGACTCGCCAAATGTTCTCGTTGGTCTCGACCGAGTCCAGCAATATGCTTTTTTTTCTCCTTCAAAACAAAACCACATTTGCATGTCGTGCCTGAAAACGGGTGGAAAACGCTAGACGTGCCGCTTTCTACTTCTTTCCAAAGCACTCTGTAGCCTGCGCTCTATGCTTGCGCTCCAGTGGCGTCTGCCGTTGCTAAGCAATTATGACCTGCGCTCTCCATGAAGACGCGGAAGTTTCAGCAAAGGATAAATGGATTTGCAGCACTAAAAATCCCTTGCAGTAGCTCTGCTACTAAATTTATTTTTAAAAATGGCTATCCTTGTACAGCTATGATCAGCTGTTTCTCCGTCTTGGCTTAGCTTTCAATTTTGTTTCGGGGAAAAGATTTGCAGGGCATTGGCCCTCCAGGATCTAGTTAGGAGACCCCAGTCCTACATAGTTGTTACTTTGCACATGCTTTTTGATCATTACAAATAATAATGTAAAATGATTTTCTTAGAATAGGAGATATGCTGTCTCTCGCATCACATACATTATCAATAGTTAGGTATGTGGTCTTGAAGAGGATCCTTTTGTTTTCTCTCATTTGGACTCGGTCTTGACTTGGACTCGAAAGTTTTGGACTTGGACTTGACTTGGACTCGAACCTCTTTGGACTCGGTCTTGACTCGGTCTCGACTAGTCCTGGTCTTGGACTTGTCTTGGACTCGACAAAGCTGAACTTGACTACAGCTCTATGTGCTGCATACCATCTCAATCAGGCTCCTGAATTCCCTCTTCAGAGTCTCAGTCTGCCGCAGCTTGGTGTCATTCACCCCCAAGTGCAGCATGAAAGCGCCGATGCTCTCGACACCCATCAGGATCGTGGGTATCTGCTCAGAATTATCGAGAACACGAGCACCCGGAAAACAGTGAGTGTGCACGGCCGTACGATGGAGTCTCTGATGATCACGGCGTCACGTTCCATCTCGCGGAGGGGAGGGAAGCAGTTCCGGGTGGAGATCTGGAAGACTGGAGGCAGTGGAGGGGGAGAGGTCTTCTCCCGGGGTCTGGCTCGCAAATCAAAATAAAACTAGTGATAACAAGGTGCTCCATTTTTTTTTTTTTTTTTTGTAGAATACAATGGGGGATATATTCACACATTATAGAAACAAAAATGATGGTGTATAAAATTGATTTTAAGATGAAAAATTAGACTGTATAAAATTTACTAGATGGAGCTTCAACTCAAAAAGCAACAAACAGGAAGTGAGACGAATATTATCACTCAGTGTTAATGTAAATGAACATTTTTGATTAAGGCAACTTATGTTGCATTTTGTTACATTATGACATTATATAGACATATTTTTACTACTATTCATGGTCAACTGAAATTAGGCTATTATGCTAACGCTTTTATATATTTAAATTCCCAATTAATGTTGGCTGGTTGAAGCGTGACTACTAGTAGAATAATGTTTATTTATTTTTCTTTATTTTTTTAATGCTTATTGCATCCATAGTAGGAATCTTGGTGATGGCTACAGTAAGCATACGGTTTTACTGCTGTGATCAAAGTGAAGTATGAGATAAACAATGCGGTAACACTTTACAATAAGGTTCATTAGTTAACTACATTAGTTAACATGAACTAATAATGAACTGCACGTATACAGCGTTTATTAATCTTTGATAATGTTAATTTCAACATTTACTAATACATTATTCAAATCTTGTTAACATTAGTTAATGCACTGTGAACTAACATGAACATCTACTAACTAACGTTAGCGTAGATGAGTAAATACAGTAACAAATGTATTGCTCATGGTTAGTTAATGTTAGTTAATGTATTAACTAATGTTTAACTAATGAACCTTATTGTAAAGTGTTACCCAGAATGCTTTCAGATTACACATTTACATTACATATGACAATCTTGTGAATGTAGTTCAGCACACAAATTACTTGACATTATTATCCAGAAGTAATTAATTAACCCTTTATAGGGCACTCATTGACTTAAGGTTTATGTTGTTATAAACAGAAATATAATTGATGAACTGCTTTAGGAGCACTGTTCCCATGACATGCTACATTTTATTGTTTAATAACTGTGAGGATTGCTTGGCTGTGAAAATTTTGCTTTAAATTGTGTTTTAAATTGCAGAAATCATATTATAAGTAGAAAGAAAATATTTTCCACTGAATAATTGTCAGTGATGCACAATTGATTCCAAAGATGACTTAGCAACAATACACATGTATTGTCACAATACACGATAGAGGAACGAGGAGACGCTGGAGAATACTTTAACAAGACTTTATTTCCATGAACCAAGGGAGACGAACTCAGGAAGACGTTTAACAGCGGACAGAGAACTAGGGACTGGGAACACTTTAAATACACACAGGAGGAGGGGGTGACGAGACACACCTGGGAGCAATGAAACATCAAGGTAAACACCTGGGACAAATGAACTAAATCAGGACAGGAACAGGAAACTAATCAAATAAGGGCATAGGAAGGCACATGGGGAGCAAGACACACAAAACATGGAACAGAGTCTGACATCACGCCCCCCTCCGGAAGGCGTGTCCTCACGCCATATACCATCCAATGAGGAGGGGGGGTGGGCACTCTGGAGGTCCCTCAGGACAGACACGGGACAGTGGGCCTCCAGAGCGGTACCCGTTCCAGGTGCCATGGCAGATCCGGAGCCTTGGCGGAGCAGGGAAATCGGGAGGCCATGGCGGAGCAGGGGACTCGGGATGCCATGGTGGAACAGGTAGTTTAGGAGGCCATGGTGGAGCCGCCTCCGAGGCCGCGGCCCCAGCTCCCGCCTCGCCCTCTACGGCTGGAGCCATTGTACCCCCCCCAAAAAAATACTTGGAGAAATGTAGGTGGTTGTATTCGGGGCCTGGAGCCCTCCCTGGGCTGAACGGGGGATCAGGAGCCCTTCCTGGGCTACACTCGGGGACAGGA